ACGGGCACGTTCTCCCGCACGCTCACGCGGTAGAGCGGCTGGCTGAACACGGGCGCGTTGTCATTGGCATCGAGCACCACCACGTGGATCCGCGCCGTGCCGGAGCGGACCGGATCTCCGCCGTCAGTGGCGGTGAGGATGAGGTCGTGAGCAGCCTGCTCTTCCCGGTCCAGGGGCTTCTCGAGCACTAATTCGGGGTATTTAAAACCCCCAGATGCAGTTTGCACTTGCAGGGAGAAATGTTCGTTACTGCTCAGTTTGTAGCTCTGGAGAGAATTCGTCCCCAAATCAGGATCCTGAACGTTGTGCAAGTGGAACCGGGATCCTGGGGCTGTTGTCTCACTGACTTTTAATTCCATTTCCCCTGTTTGGAAGCTCGGAGCGTTGTCGTTTATATCTACGATTTCGACTTCCACTCCATACAGCTTCATGTCATGCCCCACTATAAGCTCGCAGTTCAGCAGACATTTCTCTGCCCGGCCGCACAGCTGCTCCCTGTCTAGCCGCTCCGCCGGGCTTAAATGGCCGCTCCTTACATTCCATTCGAAATACTGCTACCTGTGGCAACCACGCGCACGCCGCGCTCCGACAGCGCCTTGGCCTCCAGCCCCAGGTCCTGCGCGATGTTGCCCACGAAGGAGCCTTTCTGCATTTCCTCGGGGATCGAGTAGCGAATCTGCCCGGCCGCAGCGGCCCCGCACACGGCCAGCACCACGCAGCACAGCACGGCTCGCCCTGCGCAGCGCCGCAGCCCTTGTGCTCCGGAACTGGTCATGGCGATCCGGAGGATCCACTGCCTCTCCTCCGCCGAGCGCTGCTGCTTGGAGATGATCTCGGGACGATCGCTTTTGACAATATCAGGTGCTAACCCGTCTCTCGGTTTCCGCGAATAGCCTGCACCGAGAGTCAGTTCTGTGCGAGTGCGAGTCTGAGCTATCTGTGCTGAGCTGTGCGGCGGCGGCGCTGGGCTGGCTGGATCTCTCGGCTCATTTCTCTCCCTGATTGGTGAACAGCGGCGCTCAGAGTCTTAACCAATAACTGCAGACTCTCTTAAGTACAACGTTTGGGAAGTGATTTCCTTTGATACTTAAAGTGTCATTGGTGCCTTTTCCCCATCGTCGTGAGGAATTGAAGACTGAAGTGCTCCGAAGGGATTAACAGTGGAGTTAGTTTTATGCCTCACAAGGAGTTAATGCTTCTGCTTTCAATATTTTCACTATAATTGTAGATGGCTTCCCGGTCCTATCACCTGTGTGTCTATGTCTCTGTGCTGACTTGTCCACTTGTTTGTCCTTTTATGTCAACTTTCCTTATGTACTAAACGGCTGGAATAAACTGATGTACACGTTTGGTGAGGTTGTTACTGTGTGGTAGAAGGTTGTCACCGCCTGATAAAACTGAATTTTAGCCCGGGATTGTGACTTGTAGATTTCCATTGTATTTCAGTGTTCATTTCTGTTTTTCACTTGCAGTATGCATTGTCACCTCAATGGAAGTAATATAAATGGCAGGCAAAGGCGTGTTTTCTATGGCTGAAAATTGGAGCTGAGTCTCTCTGAATGTTGGTAACGGGAGGAGTTCGGCGCTGCATAGACAGCTCTGTCTCCCAGTTAGTGGTGAAAGGAGAGAGGTGTTTCTTGTATCTGACAACGCAGCAGGTGACCTGATTATGGACTTCTCCCAGTCAGCACCATTAGTCCCTCGGGAATAGTAATTACCTTTTTAGTGAACTGTATGTAAAAGAGATGCAATGTAATGTTATCCTGTATATTTCACACTTCAGCAGTATTTCCAGTTCCTTCTATCCAGTAAAATGTAAGGCTAGCGGTATCCTTGAGAACGGTAGCAACAAAGTATAACATTTACAGGTAACCAACAGGGAATATGCAATCTCACATATCTGTACACCGCACACCCACACAGATACGTACAAATACCAGCTGTGAGGTACCAGTATCAACTGGGCGCAGAGCAGCAGACTCGAGTTCTTGAAGTGCCTTGCAGTTCTACAAGGCTGTCATTTTGATACAATGCAACTCTTCCCTTTACCAAGCACTACGAAGCATTTCCTCTACTTCCTCTTCACGAGGCCACATCTTTTAGGTAAAGAAATCTTTCCTAGCAGCGACAAATGTATGCCATCATTCAACCATCAACCAGGCAGCGAAAATATCCTCACTCTGCCTCCTGTCTCTGGAACAGGTTTCATACCACTATTCCCAAAACCATATTATTGCAGCGTCGGTGTAATCGTAAATAAGTTGCACACGGGTGACTTTTCTCAAGGTGAAAAACTTGCTTCCTGAGAGGGCTAGGCAGAGAACATCTATGCTACTGAAAGGAAAACTTTTAGAGTTTTCCAGAATAAGCCAGCCTTACTTCTAGTTGTGGATATGCGAAGTGCTTTGCAAGGCTATAAATTATTACTAGTTCCTTTATATTATGGCAAATAAGGGCATTCTAAGAAACTGTGTAGCTTCTTATTGTTACAGAGCATTTGGACCAATGGTAACTGAAGAAGAGACCTTGACAGGAGGATGTAAGAGGAAAAATACTAATTTCGTGAGGTAAATATCTTTCTCCGGTAGCGCAGAATACTTGAAAGCCTGATAAAAGGTATCAACGATCACGTTTTTGGGAGGAGCTTAAGGAGTCACTCACGGGGCTGAGAGCCGTCGGAAACTCCTCTACCTGAACGTTACATTTCTCACCTGAATATCTGTCAGTATAACAGTGACGTGAATAAAGGGGAACCGGGGCAAAATGAAGAGCATATATGTGCAGCAAAGTTGTGGCCATTACTGTATTCAAGACCTGAAGGAAAATTAAACAAGCAAGGCTTTTTAACAGGAAACCGATTTTCAAACATAAAAAGAAACTCCTTTCACCAAAAACTCAGCTATTTTCCATAGCGGTTC